CGCGAACTCGTCGTGGATATCCACCGGCCACGTCGGCGAATCGAGGGAGATGATAAACGTGGCATCCTCTCAGGTGCGCGTTCAGGCAACGTGTGGTTGCAACGACGTGTAAGACAAGATTTTGGCTTCGCAAGGCGATCGGGAAAACTCAGCAATGTCATGCCACGAAGAGGACCGCCTGGGGGACAAACATAAATCTTGATAGGCTGACAGTCAGACTGACACAGCTGAAAAAAGGTAACTCAACGGTGAGGAGCTGGGATGGTGGCGTAAACATTGGATGTTGCACAAGTCATGACTGGAGTAGTATTCAGAAACTTCATTATAGCCCGTTGGGTCTGGAATCTAATGCCCATAGCCACTATGATATACTGAAAAGGCCCGTCTTCTGGCGGGCATGTATGGTCGCAATCCTATGCTGTAAGCGCTGCACCCTCTGCGGTGCGGGTATCAAGCCAAATATCATCATTTCCAGCCCACGGCTGAACCCCATCATGAGATCCTCGACGAATATAATCAAAAGACGCCTCATCTCGAAGCTAATCGCGGCTCGTCAAGAATCTTCAAACCTCCCGTATCATCATATCCCACGCGCTCTTCATCCACAGCCCTTCGCATCTCATCTCGAAGAACTGTCTTCTCGCCCGTGACAGGATCCCATTCCCATCCTTCACGCATCCACATCCATCGGAGACACGCCCGAAGCTCCTTGTCATCGGGTCGCACTCTCATCCACTCGGGTTGAAAATTGGGCGCTACGCCTTTGCCGTTCCAGTCGTCGGCCCGTCCCAAAAGCTCATCCCGACAGAATATTCGCCAGCTGTCCAAGGCGTATTTGCCTTGCGTGAAACGACCCATTTCCCAGGCATCGTCGGCATCTTCCGTCGTAGGAAGCTCAGTCAAGCATTGCTCAGAATCGCTGTCGGGTCGAAGTGCGCTCGCCTCAATATCTCTCTTGTCGTAATTCTTCACTCTATAAACGATACCCCTTGTCGGGGGAGTTTCGAGCCAAACTCGAGCATACCTCTGTATCGCTGCTGTTCGCACAACTGAAAGCCCCAGATGGCGAATCATGCTCATGATGGTCGGTGTCGCCTCTGGATCGGCCAAGGCCTCGGGTGTTGGGAAGCGTTCCTTGACCTTGTAAAACGTTGGGATGGCCAGCGTCCCAGCTGTTTTGACAAGGAAGGTCACTACCACAAGCAGCCAAAACGGCTCGTGAGCAAACTCTTCTTGAATGAGACCAAACTTTGGTGCCGTCAGTCGCGGAAAGGGGACCGTTGATACAAGACCAGCGCCGCGTTTCGACTTAGGAGACTGTTTGGCTGGTGATGGCAGATTGAAGAAGGGAGATTTGACGGCCGTCTTCCGCCTCGGCGATGGGCCGGAAAGACCTAATTCTCCGACTTGATCCGGCTCAAGTCCTCGGGGGACAATAATTCGGACGAGTTCATCGGAGACGGACTGCTTGGCGGGGATGGCCAGGATGGTGCCTCTGCCCGAAGATCCCTGGCTGTCTGCGGGCCGCTGGCTTTTAAATCGCCGGCATCGTCACCATTCACTCCGCTAGCCGCACAAGCGGCGTTCTGGGCCTCGCTGATCGATTCCTTCGGAGAATTCCCGGTGGTGTCATTCGGGGCCTCATTCTCAAGAGACTGTTTGCGAGGCGTGATATTAGGTGTGGCAATTCCGTTACGGAGGACTGCCGGTGTGTAGGCTCGAGCTTCGTCGGAAGCGAGCGGTGATGGAGATGAAGATGAAGATGGCTGTTCTGGCTGGATGCGTGGCGATTGTTCGGCCGCGGGTGGCGCGAAATAGTGGGATGTGGATGATTTGGATGCGACTTTGCGTCGCTTGACTCGTTGGTTGTTGGGTTGGGCATCCTCATCTTCGATCTCCTCCTCATCGTCCCGTCCGCGCCTGGAGACGCCCTCTCGCTTGATCACTCGCTCTCGTTTGATGACAGCAGGTTGGGGAGCAGCAACGGTGCCTGATCGATGAACCAGCAGAAGCGTGGCTAATTTTTTGATGGACTGGTCAGTCGCTGCCCAACCCTGACGCAGCTTGTCGGCGGCTAGCGTGGCTTCTTTCACCCGCGGGACGAAGGCTAGGAGATCTTGTGCATCGAGAGGGGATCTAGCCGGGCTCTGCTCCTTCAATGAGGCCGCACTCTCGAGCATCAGGTTCCAATCCTCGTATCCGCTGAACAGACCGACGTCGTAGATGGCCAGCTTCTCGTCCCAGGGGGTGCCGGGTGCAGCAAGGACATCAAGCAAGAATGGCTTGTCGGTTTCGGGAACGTCGTCTGCTAGTGCATGCGCCATTGCTGATGATGTGGATGGACTGACGCAGACGAATGAACCGGATATTGTGATGTGAGGTTTGTGTGTAGGTGTGAAAGTTTGGGTGGGTGGGCGAGTGGTGTGAGTGATAGATTGAGTGATGGAGTGAGAAGAAATGGGGTTTTTTTCGAGGTTGCGAGATGTATTTTGGGAAGGAAGTGAATTGTTCCGGAGAAAGGTCTGAGGTAGAGGGCAGTGGACTAAAGTTGAGGAAGAAGCACCTGAGGTTGACTTGAGAGTCCGGGGGCCGACGTCAATGGTGATCTAAAGGGGTTGAATTTCTTCAGTTGCCTTTGAAGTGAGGCCTAGGGACCGTTGAGGACGCCATTTTGTGTGTGCTGCGGGTGGTCAATGGCATTCAACTGCAGCGTCAAAGGACAAAACAATTGATTGCGGCAGGTGCAGGGGAAGAAACACGGCAAGGCAGGTGCGAAGGAGGGGTGACTATTCCGTCTGTCGTTAAGGAATACCTTTGCAACAGCAACGGCGCTGATGAGGTGAAGTCGGGTCTGTTTTCAGGAGAGCGTTTCTACAACGCAGAACAAAAACCTGCTGGAGGTGTGGTTGTTTAGCCTCATGCGGATCCCCTGGCGTGCCAGGTCCCCTTTTTTCCCTTTCAGCGTCATAGCCTGCCACCCGGGAGGCTTGGTTGGCTTTGACGCTGAGTCTACTCCGTACCTTGGGTAGGAAAATAGAAACACCAACCGGCCGCTGGCTGAAGGCGAATGGATTGAAACAATTGGGCTGCCGATGAAAGAAACGGGAGCTCATAAAACGGCGGCATCCGCGTGAAAGCCATGGACTTGAATGCTTGATGACGGTCTTATTGTCTGGATTTATCCAGATCGCTGACCAACAACACCCGGCCTCATATACATAGAGTTACATACTACCTTACCTTACCTTACCTTACCTTACCTTAGGTACCATGTGGTAGGTACCTGGGTGCCGTGGTGCTGGGCATAACATGAAGGGGAGTGTTCGTGGCCTGTCATTGCTGCAGAGGGCCTTGGTGATAAACCAGGTCGGCCCAGCTTATTGGAGATCGCCCACCACAATCAGGCACGGATACATGGCTCAGCCAAGACGCCTAGCAATGCTAGCAGCAATTGTCCAAGTTCCAAGTCCCCCTTCTCGAACAGTTGGTTGTCCACAGGGGTGCCTCACCCAGAGCCTCCTCGCTTTCCCCAGATTTTGCGATAGCAGAGATAACCTGGTTGGCAGACTGTTATCGCATTGATCAAGTTACGCAATCTGGGACCCAGTCTTGTGACTTGTACAAAGGTCCACTCATCGACCTTTTTTGCTGGAGTGACTGATTTACTTGGAATGGGCGACGGCGATCCTCAGGAACCAGTGCATGAGAATCGTCTGCTCGAGCGTGTTCCATGGTGAGCGTAAATATTCGCATTGATTACAGTAAGTGTATGGCGTGCTCAAGCTCCGGTAGCTTTTCCAAACGGTGCCCAGCGGTGCGGTGTCAAGGTGTCTCCTCGGAGTGGTGGTGGTGGTGGTAGGTACTGGTATCCAAGGTGTTGCTTTGGACGAATCCAACGTCCGTCTCCAAGGTATTTTGACTTCCTGTAAGTTCTCGGGGAATGCAGAGGTGCCTCAAACTGGGCAAGTCCAGTCGAGGCCGGCAACCATTCCCGCTGGAAACATCAAGACGTTAGCATGCGGCACCTACACCACCAAGCTTGCCAGCATACCAGCAAATGGCATTCCAATCTTTTGAGGTGCCTGGCCACCATCAGCGGAGACATTATCGAGATGGCAAAAGTGCGCGAGTTTTCCTCCAGATTTACTCAATTACCCTAGTGACATCGAGGGTGGCAGTGACATGAGCCAGCCAAAGTCTATCCGGCGAGCGTTGTTTTAGTGAGCGGAGACCGAGATAGGCGTTCGGTGCCCCGGGTGCGCCTTTCGTCTTTCGCACTCTGCGTGTCTGCTCGCCGGGTGCCACGTCTGCGGAAAGCCGAAGCGGGTACGTACCCAGTACCTACGGTGTGCAGTGTGCCGTTCCCCAGCGCAACCTATCTGCGTGCAGGTGTGGCCTGCCGTGCCTGCTGCACTGTCCCAGTACAAAGTGTCTTGGTGCGTCCACTCCTTCCATGACGGGGAACGCATGATGAGTGGTCCACCGCGTGACGGTCTGTGGGGCCAACCATGTCACGTGGACGCATTCGCCCAATCCTTGCCTCCCGCCAGCCGGTCGCCTCATTTACTGCCTACTCCCCATTTTCGCTGTTCCTAAGAACTTCCAGATCCTATCCCAACATCCGTCCATCCCTCACCACACACCCCCCCAGCGCGTCCTTGTCCTTTTCACGAGCGTTCACCAACCCGAATCGAACACTCTCAGCGTCATCCGAGCATCGAGAGATGAGTAGTCGCGGCGGTAAATTAGCCCCAGAAGTCAACCGGTAAGTCCGATTTCTTCCAGTCGCGAATCTGCCTACTTGCTAGGCTGGTATATCTTTGCATCTTTTCCCTGCCTTGGCCGCACACGACTTCCGGCCGCCGGCCAAGGTCACCCCACGGCCCATGCCGACCACCTCCGTCCGGCCTCGCCTACTACCTACCTCGATCCTACTATTCCGTGCTCCGTTCGATTGATATCTACCTACCCTGGTCGGCGTGCCACTTGATGGGACAGACATGGCTGACTGGTTGTCGTACAGAGCTCTGTTCGTGAAGAACTTGAGGTAAGCCTTACCAATCCTTCGACAATGACCCACGCGACGGTCAGCATCAATGACTGACACCGACATAGCTACAACGTAACTCCAGAGGAGTTGTTCGACCTGTTCGGAAAATTCGGCCCAATTCGGTACGCACCTCCCGTCGATGACAAACACCGCCTTCCTCGACATCATTACTGACCCCTACTACAGACAGGTCCGTCAGGGCATTGCAAGCGGCACCAAGGGTACCGCCTTCGTTGTCTATGAAGACGTAATGGATGCGAAGCAAGCTTGCGACAAGCTAAACGGCTTCAACTTCCAGAACCGATACCTCATCGGTATGTCTTTGTCGATCATCTTCAACAATTGTGGATCCATACTAACTCGATGACTAGTTCTGTATCACCAGCCAGAGAAGATGCTCAAGTCAAAAGAGGACCTCGAGGCTCGCCAGGCTCGTTTAGCGCAGCTCAAGACACAGCACGGTATCGATTGACAATCCGACGGGTCTGCGGCACGCCTCCAGACACCTACCTCGTCTGCAGGCCCGTCTATTTCTTCTTCATCTAAACGAACCACTTCTCCGGATCAGAAGACGATCCTCAGAAAGGGCAAGCCGACCATCACCGGGCGCGCACCCAGAACCGGTGTACGATTCGCCGACGGAGTGCTCCCCAAGGCCCAGACTTGCGCTTGAGGTGGTGGGTCGTTGTAAAACATGACCCGTCAAAAATTTCAAGCCTTGTTCTGGTCGGGGGTTCTTACGGTGCAGAGACGCGCAACTTTTCTTGTTCGCTGGTTTTGGCTTGGCAAACGCCCGAAAACTCACTCAACCTCTCCTGGAGAGTATCACGACCTGATATGAATCTTGTGCGATGGCAGGGGCGATTAGGGGACAGGAAACCGGATTGAGCCGTCCGTGGACGAAGTCAGTCAAACAACTCGACGGTCCTTGGCGGTGTTGTTTTATATCATTTTTTCTTTCCTTTTTGCTGATTTGGGAAACGGAGGGGGGCGTATCACCTTTGCTTGTGGATCACCATCCTTCGACACTCTTCACACACTACAAGTTGCTATCAAAGAATGCATGACAACCGAGGCGCCGGCCTCGTGTTCCTCCTCCCCTTGTGTCCTGGCACCATTGGACTACACGAGCTGACTTTCGCTGATGTCATAGTCAATATCTAGGGTCCTATGTGCGTATGCTTTCCAACGTTGTGACCACCCATTCCATGAGTTGCCCAGCCTCACTGCTGGACATGTCATCATTGGCTGTCAGACACGTTTCAACCACCTGCTTGTACAGCTTTCCGGTCTTGCTACCCAATCCTGGAACCAAGACTGGCAAAATGACCCTATCCCTCCACTTCTCCGCTGAGTAATGCGGCTTGTAGTATGTTTGCAGCACCTTCCACAGCCCAATCTCCAACAGCACTAGGCCCAGGCTGTACACATCATAGCTCTTGCAGTACTGCTTCCTCCCGAGGCCAGTGCCCAGCGAACGCGGATCTCTGTGGAGGTCGAGGATGCTAGGGTTCCGCGGATTGACGCTCATCTCGGCGTCAAAGTCTGGGCGTGAGGCATCGAAACCGGCAAGGTACGGTGATCCGATATCTGGGACGACGGCGGCGGAGACGATGGTGGCGCGGGTTGCTGCGAGGGAGGCGGCGGAGGGGAAGAAGAGGATGTTTGCGCTGCAGAGGGACTTGTGGAGCCAGTCTAGGGAGTGGAGGGACCAGAGGGCGCAGGCGAGGGTTGATGCGAGGGTTATGCGGTCGTCTAGGTCTGGAGTTTTGAGGTCTGGGGAGGAGATTAGGGTGTGGAGGGTTGAGTGGGATGTTGCTGGTTGTGGCTGTGGTGACTCTGCTGCTGCTGCTGCTCCGGTGTCGGTGGTGGCCTTGGTCCTGGGTTTGGTCTTTGTGGGCAGGGAGTCCGAAGGTAAAGATGGTTGAGCGAGCATGGGACAGCGGTAGACGAGGCCGTAGCGGGCGTTATTCGTGTCGTCGGTATAGCCTACGCAGTCTATCGTGTGTAGGTCCGGGTGGTTGGAGGAGGCCGAGTGCATCATGCGGGCAAGGTCGTCGAGGCGGCGGAGGTGGAGGAAGCGTTCGTCGGGCGAGGAGGGGTCGTATTCGACCCATTCCACGAGGACTGGGCCGTGGGTTGTGTGTGTTGCGTGGGTGCGGGTTGTGTTTGTTGATGTTAGGGAGAGGAGGTTCAGGGAGGATGAGGAGGGTGATGAGGCTTGTTTTGCGGTGGAGGAGTTGCGGCGTTTGGTACCGGCTCCGGGGGTGGGGGATGTTGGTAACGGCGGCGAGAGCAACGGCGTCGTCGTTGGCGAGGACGAGCTGAGATCGAGGTCCGTACGGGGGATGCGGAAGGCGAAGGTCGGGCGGAAGGAGGCCTGGGGTTCGGCGTCGAGGTTGATGCGCAGCTTTTTGAGGTTGGCGGAGGCGGTGAGCTGCGGGTAGGAGTCTGCGGAGGAGGACTCGAGGAGGGCGAGCTGGGCTACGTCGCGGCGGGCCGAGTCGAGGAGGGAGTGGCGCCAGGAGCGGTGGAGGGAGGGGAGGAGGCGGGGCGGGAAGAGTTGTTCTAGGCCGTCGTTGAAGTCTGGTGTTTTGGGTGTTAGTTGGGAATGAGTGTGGCGTGGATAGTGTAGATATTAGGAGCTCACATTTCAAGTCCGTCAATAGGTTTGTGAACTTTTCCTTGTCTTTCGTCACACATTGATTAGCGACCTGGAAACATGCACACAACAAGATATCAATAGGGATAAACATACCAGCAATAACCCACTTCGCCCTCCTCGAAATCTCCCTCCTCCAATCCCTCTTCTTCCCCTCCCCTCCCTTCTCACCATCACCATTACTCGTCCCGATCTTCCCCCGCTCACTACCATCCTCCACAAACCCATACCTCTCCCTCAACCTCCCAAAGTCCGTAACAGTAGCGTGCAACTCCCTCATAATCCCCTCCGCCAACCCAGCCATCCGCGGATCGCCCGCCTCGCGACTGAACCCGTTCAGGTGCGCCTCCAGCCGGCCCTCGGCGACGCCCCACCCGCGGCCCCAGACGACGAGGCGCATCTCCTCGATGCGCACTTTACACAGCAGCCGCTGCGAGTCGGCGTCGAGGTTGGCGGCCGCGGAGAAGTAGCCGTAGGCCTTGACGCAGCCGTCAAAGAGCTGGCCTAGGAAACCTACCACGCCTATTGCTGTGCCTATTGCCTCGGCCATGTTTGCGAGGGAATAGGAAGTTGTTGGAGATTTTCCTTGGGTTTCCCCCCCGTCAGATATTGGGTAATAGTTCTCTGCTTTTTTTCTGGGTGAAGGGGTTGGTTTGTGTCTTTTTTTCTTTTGGTGCTAGGTGATCTTTCCTGAGTTTTCGAATGTAAAAGAAAGGACTTTGGGTGTCGTCTCTGAGGTAGGTTATTTCCGAATTCCTGCATACGATTGTTGAAGTCGAAATCGTCGTATTACGTTGAGAATGGGCCAACGATCTCTCAACGTGGGAACACGGAGAGGAGGGGTCAGAGTGAGGTTACACCGCTTTCTTCAACGAAGGTACGGTATCGAGGTATCCCACGGCGTGGTCCAATCTGGAGCTGAAATGAGCAAAATCCAAGGCAAACCGAGTGAGTCCTAAATTTCAGCTGGACCCATCCAAACCGAGGCTTGACAAACAAAGATTTGGATGGTCATGAAAAACAAATGAGGATAGTTGAAAAGGAACAAGGTAAGCAACGGGAACATATGAAGCCAGTCCCTCGACATCCTGCATACGGGTTCCTAGAGGGGTCGTTGAAGACCTGCATATGATCCACATCAAATCTCACCCAATCGCAAAGAGTCTACCCGAACGGTTGTGTTCCCCTCATTGTTGTAGCCACCCTTTGATGCAAGTCACTTCGACCGAGTAGCCAATTCCAGCCCCCTTCTTCGCCTTAGTGCCGGAGCTTGGAGGACGCCTTCGACCAGGATTAGGGGTCAACAGTCCACAAGTTCTCAAGCTCCAGCTGGTAGACTATTTGACAGACCTTCAGCAAGACATTGAGCAGTAGACACGAGGTGAAAGCGGATGCAGAGACTTGTATGAACTTGAATATATCTTCTCCATTTCCTAAGCGCGCTGCTTAAACTGTCCTTTTCCCACTATTGAATCCTTTCTGTGTCTACCCATCATATATGCGGCGATGGGATCCCGTTGACCCAACGCCCAAAAAAATGCAACTGCAGTGCGGGAACAAGGTTGCAAGCCTTTTGAATGCCGTTCGTAATGCCAAGAAAGCGACTAGATGATATTGATCGTCTTCTGTCTTTCTTTTCCCCAAAGGTATGAGATCAGCCCTTCCGAAACTGGGCTTTTGTGTTTTTCCTCCTCAGGAGTTCTTCTCCTAGTAGACCTTCTTCTTCTCGTCGATGGAGAACTGTCCAGGTCCAGCGTTGACGAGCAGCAGAAGACCGCCGACAATAGAGAGGATCTGGAAGAAATCGTACTTGGCGAAATCCTTGTGGGGGTGGTGCTCGTGGAGCTACAAATCATTAGCATACACACGTAGGGCATTGGAAGTTGGCGTTTGGAAAAGCTTACAGTCCAGAAGTTGTTCACAAGGATGTTGAAAATGCTGAGAATCAGGACCAGGAGAGTGGCGCTGAACTTGGCCTTGAAACCGACAACAACCATGACGCAAGCAACGAAGCCAACCAGGGAGGTGATGATGCGCCAGACGGACCAGGAGCCGCTGAAGACAAAGCCGACGAAAAGGAAGATGAGCAGGACACGGCCAGCAAGCTGGAAGTACATCTTGCGGTCCTTCTCGTCAAGCTGGGGCAAACCAGCAAAAGCCTTGGTCTTGCGAACCCACGAATCGGAGAGGACCATGAGAAGACCACCAATGACTGACAGGTTGCGAAGGAAGAAGTTAAGGTCGAAGATCAGGCCGTATCCCAGAGCCTGCGTGACGACGACGCCCATAAGGCCGGCGACCGCGTAGTCGGAGTACTTGCGGATAATGACGAGAGTGGAGCATGCGACCATGGCGAGAACGTTAACGATGAGGAACAGGTGGGTGATGCCCGAGGGAACTGTACAAGGTTAGCATATCCAATTCTTGGCGCAGATATTGTTAGCATTGCAGACATACTGTGGCGGTAATCGTGAAGGTACAGGAGCTGGTCGCTCCATTGCGTAATGATTCTTAGAGCATCTTCGAGGAAGGTGACGACGATCAGGAAGCGACCAATGGCGGGCAGGTAACTGTCGAGCAATGTTAGCCAACATGGCTCACGCGATGGCGAGCGATCCGACAGCTCCCTGTCAAGATGCCGAGGTTCCAACTCACGGCTTGATTGGCTCGCTGAGAGTGTCCAACATGTCTTCAATCTTGCTTGTCTGTTGACGGATCATATCCAAGGGGCTGGACTCGGAGCTGTCACCACTGGGACCGCCGAAAGAGGCGGAGGGGCCACCGGCACCCAAGCCGTAGGAAGGGCCTCTCTGTTGAGCCATCGTGGGGAGCGGGAGATCGACGGAGGGAGTGAGGTCGTGGGAGAGGTAGATGTGGCTGTTGCACAAAAAGGTACAGACAGACCAGCTGTTCGATCTGGCGACTTTATTTCTTTCGAGTCGTCGTTGTGGTCGTTGAAGATGACGGAGTTTGCTGGTGGAGAGACGAGGTTCTAAACCGTGAGGCGAAAA